GTGCGCTTAACTATATGTAGAAAAAAAATGGTTATACTCCGGCCACTATTGATTATAAAAACTTGTTACCGGTAGTCGGCAGTGGGCGTAGCTCAACTGGTAGCGAGGGAGTGCCACAACAGTCAACAGTTAAGTCTCGGGTTCGACTTCCGGCAACTGCGATAAGGGGTTATTATGCTGAAAAATGCATAGGGCCTCTGCAAGTATCGGGGACGGAGCCCCACTCTATCTGTCAGATTGTGATTATAAAAACTTGTTCACTCAATTAATGATTTTTACAAACCTTGATGAAAGCCTTCTCCAAGTATTCGTAGACCGTAGTACGGAATATATGGGAACACAATTTAGACAACGGAATATATTCGGTTGCGTGGGTATCCATGAGAAAGAGATTACCGTAGGGTAGAATAGGAATATCAAGACAAATACTAAGTAAAAAAAGCCAAACCCAAAACGCCATGTTTATTGACTTTTAATTTTTGGTTGTTTCGGATAAAAAGTCAAATAAAAAAGCTAACTAACCAAACAGCCTAATAGCTGATTAGGCTGGTCAAAAAGCTAAATAATGGTCAAATCAGCTAAAATAGGATTGATAGGCTGCTAACCAAACAACTTTGAGCCCATTTGGTAGTATGAAAATTGGCTGTTTTGGCTGATTCTGCTGAAATTTATGAAGTTCTGACTAAAATGGCTGCATTGACTTATTCTGCATTTAAGAAAAAATTATTTTTAAAATATATTTTATTAATAAAATAAAGAAAAAAATATATGTAAAAATAGTTAAAATGATCATCTATGGTAACTTCAGCCAATACAACCAGTAAAAGTAACACCAACCTTAATTTTTCTGTTTATTACACAATTTATCGCGCAAAAGCAAAAATTACGTGTTTGGTGAAAAAGTTGACTGATAAGCCTGATAACCCAAAAAATATTGTTGCCAAACGGCCTCTTTGTAATGGAGATAGAAGGGGGTTGTAGGGGGCCTCAATCCCTCAACAAAAATTTATTCTGCATGTGCAAATGTATAGGTATTTATAGTCACTAAAAGATCATATTGTTATTTTAAGTTCCAACTCTTGCAATATAAAATTTTTAACCCTAGTCCCGTAACATTACTTTTTTTGCTCCGTCACTGTAGATTACTCCGTACAATATACCACATACTATTTTTGAAAATTTTGGAACAAGATAATTTGACGATGATACTAACCAAATATCTCTAAGTATCTGCTCAATTAGGAATTGTGGGTTTTATAAGATAATTTTATAGGCGGTGCACCTTTTTCATTTTCAACAGGTCAGTCTTCGCGACTATATGACCAATACCGCAGCCCGCAGGTAACACCTTCAAATGTTAGTTGTGAAATGAGTAACAATTTGTACCCCGTTTCTTGTATTGAAATGCTGGCTAGCTTTTTGTACCCATTGGCATTCAAGTCATCAAATGCTAAAAAAAAAAAAATGACACCTCATCCCTCAGGATAGAGACAGACCCAGTAAGGGTCCCACGGGGTCCCGGGACTCCGTGTACCTCGAAAAAAATACATATATATATCATTTATATATGATATAAAATTGATTAGTAAGTGTATACTTCCTCTGTTCATTTTAAGTTGCAACGGTCAACATTTCACACTTGTCAACGCACATCTTTGACCGTAATTATATCTTAATCCCTATTAGAAAAAAATATATTTAAAAATTAGATTTTGAAAATTTGTAATGAGATGAATTGAACAATATAATTTTAAAAAAATAATTTTCATAAAATAATAATATAAACTGTGGTCAAAGTAGAACATATGAATAGTGTAAAATTCAACATGTTGTGATTAAAAAGAGACGGAGGATAGTATTCACATACAAAACGACTAAAGAAAAAGAAGAATGTAGCCGGGGAACGGAAGAACATGCGGGATTTAGGTTTCTATGATGTGGGAGGTACCATGTTCGAATCCCTTGGGCTACTTTTTTGTTTTCCAAAACTATTTTAATTAAATAGACCAAAACTACGTCGTTTTGGTCTATTTTAATTAAATAGACCAAAACTATTAATGATGATTCTATTATAGAATATTTCCAACTAATGAAGCTTAGGAGGGTACATCTATAGAATTGTTGAATGATTTTTATATGTAATTTTTTGCTTTATAATACCTTATTGTTTTGATTGTGTACGTTAACTATGAAATGTGATGCTTCTTTAATATTTTTTTTATTAGTTTTATATTAATTAGAGATTAGAGATATAAAAGGGTAGGGACACCGTGGCTCCGACTTTCTGGGTCCGCCACTGCCTGAGGGCCTCCCAACACCGACCGGACGGCACGATGGGAGGATGTAAATTGGACTATAATCACAATATGACAGATAGAGAGTGAGGCTCTGTCCCCGGTACTTGCAGAGGCCATATGCATTTTTCAGCATAGTAACCCATCATCGCAGTTGCCGGGATTCGAACCCGAGACCTAACCCTTGTGGCACTCCCTCGCTACCAGTTGAGCTACGCCCACCGGTAAGTCATCTTTTTTTTTTTTTTTTTTTTTAAAGATAAGCATGTGTTTGTGATAATATTGCAGATTAAACTCCAAAGCATGGGTAAATTGTAGAAAATCTGTTCCATAAGCTTGTCTAACAATTAAAACAACATAATAATAAAAACTCAAATCAATTGAAACGAATCTAAGCTGTAAGAACAACAGCCCCACCTGCCTCCTTGATCTTCTTCTCCGCGATCTTTGAAACAAGCTTGGCCTTCACCACCACAGGCTGGTTGCTCGGGAGCACGCCCTTGCCCAGGAGCTTAAAGTATCCGAATTGCGTGACGTCAATCATCGGAACTTTGTCCTTGGAAGCTTTGGATCTGACTTCCTCAGGGACGAGTGACCAGAGCTTATCGATGTTGAGAGTAGGGCAGTAGAACTTGTTTCGCAGCTTATGGAAATACCTCATACCGACCTTTCCGAAGTATCCCGGATGGTACTTGTCGAAGAGGATCCGATGGTGGTGCATTCCTCCGGCGTTACCGCGACCCGACGGATGCTTCCGGTGCTTCCCGATACGGCCATGGCCGGCGCTAACATGGCCTCTCTTCTTCCTGTTTTTCTTCAAATGCGTCGTCATTGTTTAGAGCTAATGGCTTCGCCCACCGGTAAGTCATCAAATGCTAGAAAAGATAAAAAGATAGTATCCCATAAAATAGGCCTTTGTTTATGAATATGATTATATTATTACTAGAATAAATACAAGAAATGAAAATATGACATCTTTTGATCGAGTTTTTCCTAAAATGTAACTAATCGACTAATATAATCATATAAATGCATCCTTTATTATGTAAAACTAGTACTACATTTATTATGTAGTATTTCAATACTCTGTTAGACTGTTACATCTATTATAGTTAAGAATTAATCAATGTCATATACTCATATAGTCACCTTCCACTGGCTGCCGCCACCAGCATTGTCGCTTTGGCATGGACTCGGTCTCGGTCCAGTCAGGTTTTGGTCTAGGACAGGTCGGTCCTGGCCGGGGAAAAAATGTTGTAGACTTGGCCTGACCCAAGTATAAGGCTCCAGGTACTCAGCCGGTCTGATACTGTTCTGAACCCGGATCTTTTCTTTTGTTTGTTTATTTGTTTTTATTTATTTATTTATTTACTTACTTACTTACTTACTTACTTACTTACTTACTTACTTACTTACTTACTTACTTACTTACTTACTTACTTACTTACTTATTTATTTATTTATTTATTTATTTATTTATTTATTTATTTATTTATTTATTTATTTATTTATTTATTTATTTATTTATTTATTTATTTATTTATTTATTTATTTATTTATTTATTTATTTATTTATTTATTTATTTATTTATTTATTTATTTATTTAGTACTCCATACTACATATAAATAGGAAATAACTAGGCCCCTACACCCCAACCCCCCATAAACCTGTTTCCAGCGGCTACTTTGAGTTTCAGCTGCACAATGCTCAAACCAAAAAAGAAAAAAAATGACTGTTGGGATTAAAACCGGGATTGGGACCGCCCGGTTTGGTCCCAAAATTTTAGAAACGGGACCTGGATCTAAAAATCCAGACTCGTTCAGTCGTAATAGCACCGGACCCGATTCCGGATCGGGGACCCGATTGCGGATCGGGTCCATGCCTATCGCCGCCACAACCTCCAAATTCCAATAGTGATCATGAAATTACTAATCCAAACCTTACAGTGACTAGCCCGTGAGTGACTTCGTCGACTGTTACTACAACATTCTGTCGATGGTGATTGGGCAGGAGTCACTGTGGTAGGATAGGTTTGACGAATTGGAGAATCTGGCATATATTGAGTTTTAGCTAGTGATTGTGACTAACTATCGAGTCATTGGAGCTAAAGTTTCAGTGACGCTGGCTAACATTGGAGTGATGGCGGCTAGAATTCCAATGCTACGACAAGTACTAAGGAGTTTTCATTAACAAACTAATTTGGTTAAAGTTTGGACGCATGTATCTCTGACGGTGATCAGTAAATTTGGGGCAGAATCATTAACAGGGCTATGATATTAACTATAGACATTGGTCATTCTCACCGATGACGGATGCGATGATAGTGATGGCGGCGGCATCACCAGACAAATCGGTAGGGCAGTGGGTGGGGGCAGGTGGAGGTGCACACGGGGCGACATCAATTACTTTTTGCTCCATTCGTCCCATATTTAAGTTCCCATTTTTCATTTTTGGATGTCTCAAACAAGTTCACACTTCCTTATTTAGCAAACAAATTTACACCATAACAATGCAAAACAATGTCAGTCACAACAGTGTACTCTACACTAAAATTACTTCTCAGTAAATTTATTTCCTGTGTAAAGTCGACCTAGGAATTTAAATAAGAGACGGAGGAAGAATAATTGAAAACATATGGAAATTGAAAATACTCGTTACTTCGTTAGGCATCAAAAGGTTGTGTCGTTGGAGAATCAAAGGGCAGTGTGGTCATTCGTCCTGGCACGTGAGATGCAGCACGTATGGCGCCGTTAGTTACAGAAATCAGTATCATATCTTTCTCTCACTATATCTTCTCTCATCCTCTCCACCGTGCTGCGAGCTACTCTCTGCTGCGGGCATACTCTTCTCTCTCGTAAGCCTTTCTTATTTACTCATCAATACGAAAATGCAAAAATATATGTACTGTAAGTCCGTATTCTATTACTCATAAAATCATTCCTCATCATCCATTTATCGTCTTCTTCAGTTTAAAGCAGCCATTTTATCTCGTTCTCTTTCCAAGCTTCTTTTGATCGGCGGCATTACCTGAAAAGGACGCAGCGCAGCGACCCGGCCAGTTCAAGCGGAATCTCAGTAGTCGATCTGAAGTAGGTACGTACTGCTCCGTCTTCTCTTACTCTGTCTCTCTATTTCTCTGTTTTTGTGTTTTTGTCATTCTCCGAGAAGAAGATGTTTGATGTTCTTGGAGATGATGTTCTCCAGTTCATTGTCAGGCTCAGCTCCGGCGTACGGCACTCTGTTCTCCAGTATTATGGTTTTAGTTTTTGGTTTTTCTTTTGTTTATATCCTTCACCGAGAAGAAAAGGTCTGATGTTCACGGAGATGATGCTCTCCGGTGGATGGCCTGGCCAATCTCAGGTCCGGCAGTTTGATTCAGATTCCTACAAAGGAGATACAGTGAAATTTCATTTGAATGATTTTTTGTATTGTTCTTCGTTTCTGCGATTTCTCTGCATTTCCAATTTCGTTTTTTCTGTCATTTTCTTCTTTCTGTTTGTTTGTGTTAGTGCCTGTACGCATATTTTCAGATCGACATTTCCACTTTTGCCTAAACCCTAACTGCAGCCTGGCAACTTCTGATGGGAGCATCAAATTTGTTTCTAGCGCAAGCATCAGAACATGCGCAGAAATGCCGGATTACTTTTACAACTTTTTTCAGTATGATGTATACGTCTCAATGATCAATCGGTCAATTCTATTCAAGCTTCAATTTAGCTTCATTTTGTGTTTATTTTAATTTGCAGACCAATACTATGGAAACTTACTACAGGAAAAGATCCAGAATGGCTTCTTCAGCCCTCTCCGTAAGCTTTCTTTCATTTTTAAACAAATACGAGTACTTCGTATTTCTTTTATTTACTCCGTATGCATTAATGCATCTGCCTTGCATATAAAGTTTTTTCCCTGATGCCAAAATGAAATTGTCCTTCGTTGAGATGGTACCCTTATTTCCTCATTCATATTTTCTCTTCATTGTGATGAATTTGAAAATTTTTTATTGTTTCACGCGCCTATACTATTGTCACGTTAATTTTCACGCGCCCATTCATGAAGCTTTATTAGGTCTCCTCAGGTGTTTAGATGCATAAAGTATTGACGCCAAGAAAGCAAAATCAAATCTTTATCTGAAAATGCTATTTGTCCCCTTTTTATAACAGAATGATTGTTAAATAAAAACTATTCGTATTAGGATTTGCAAAAATTTTGCTTGAATTTGTATATTCTATACTCTTCTGCCATTCCAGGAACAGTTCTTACTTTCTTCAACTACGGAGATTTTTTTTATTAATTAGTATGTTACACACTCGTAAATGGTAACCCGCTGAAATATATTAATCATTCTGGTGATCATATTTAAAACCCTGTAGTGGCGCCACTAATCTGTGTATCTTTTTCGTACCGTTGCAGGTTATGGATTATCAGGACAGCAGCGTGGCTGGGGCACTCGCACCAATTATGCCACCTAGACACTCTCCTATGCCCACTACACCCAACAAGTGTACCGTGCAATGCAGTAGTGGTAGTACTTCTGTTAAATGTTCATTTAGCGTTATTTGAATCATATACTTGGTGATCCCTCATCACTCTTAAACTAGATTACGAAATTTTTACCATTTTCTGCGTTTTATTAAGCAATAATGTGCAAATATGTGAATTTTCTCTCTTTAATTTCTGCAAAAAATTGGACTAACGCTAGCTAGCTTAAGAAATGAATGTGTGATGTAGTCTTTGTCCTTTCACATAATTTGATCAGCAGAGCATGAACATCTGGAATGCAATTTCAAAATTGAAGTGGGCTCAATATACGAGGTTGATCACATCTATCTTCCTCCAAGAACGCCAGTTCAACTCAGGGCCATGAGAGTTGTTATGGTAAACAAATGTTGAGATGTACCTGGAATGTTGAACTAAATAATTGGTTTTGTAAATTATTTAATAAGCACATCCATTATTTTTGAATTCTTATTAGGTGAGTGAGAAGACAGTCTTGAATGTGGCAGTAAGGTATCCAAGTTTGGAGTCACTTCAAATATATTTCTCTAATAGCATGAGAGAAATGTATCCAGCTTTGGATGAGAAGTTTGTAATGGGTACCGCTCTGGCTGATAAAGTGCTTCTCAGGCAAGTTCCATCTCAAGAGTTTGCAGAAAAGAAGCATCTTGAAAGCTTCTGGTTGGTGGATTCTATTTCTGCTTCAATAGATCAGCATCACCTTTCTCAGGATGATGATTCTACTTCCAGTAAGGGTGTCTGCTTGTCAGAACTCAAAGTTAATGGGATGGTTCGTTGGGGAGTGCGTCGCCAAGTCAGGTTTCTAAGGAGGCATGAAGACAATAACATCAACAATACAAAGTCATCTACTTCCAGCATTATTAAAGATGATGGTGAAGATGATGATGAAGTGCCACCTGCAATAGATGTTGAAAAGCAAGAGGAAGATGATGATGAAGAAAATGAGCAAGAAGAATTCAAAGAGGAGTTTCCTGAGAGTGACAAGGACCTCAAGAGAAAGAGGTATAGTTTCAGACACACCGCCATTAGGAAGGCCAAAAAAGTAAAGCGTGAGAAGCAGCAAAAGCTGAGGAACAACAACATGAAGAAGAGAAACAAATGCAAGATGCTAGTACAATTCAAGAACCCCAAAGATCGATGGTCTGAAGAAAGGTATGTGCCTAAAATTTAGCCTATTGCACCTAAGTTTTAAAAATGTTTTTTTTTAATTTAGTGTATACTATGTGAAGGTATAAAATGGCAGAGAAGAACCTTCTGGAGGTGATGAAGGGGAAAGGAGCAACAGCAACTAACCCAATCCTTCGGCCAGAACTAAGAACAGAAGCCAGAAAGCGGATTGGGGATACCGGATTGCTAGACCACCTTCTTAAGCACATGGCAGGTAAGGTTGCACCGGGTGGGACCGAGCGGTTCCGTAGAAGGCACAATGCAGATGGAGCCATGGAGTATTGGTTGGAGAGTGCTGATTTGGTCAATGTGAGGAAGGAAGCTGGCGTGAGTGATCCTTATTGGATCCCACCACCTGGTTGGAAGCCCGGCGATTGCCTCACACCTGATCCAATCTCTGCTCATGAGTTAAAATTCTTGAAAAATGAGATTATCACCCTAAGAAGGTTAGGCTTAACACACAAACACACATAACGCTTTTATATTGTCATTAAAGTTAATGATGACATTATTCATTAATATCATTCACAGAGACTTGGATGAGATGGCACAATCCAAGAAACACATGGAAGAAGATGTTAAGAGGCTGAGAAGGTGAAATGAAGAAATGAAAATATGCATTCCATATTTATCACCTTGTATATCCAACAATTGGAGATCCTATGAAATAATTAATTGCTTAATCCTTGTTTTGCATGAACAGGGAGATTGAGGATTTGGATGGGAAGGTAAAGCAACAGGAAACACCAGCTACTGTCGTTTCAAAAGAAAATGACTCTGAGATTCCACCAGTTCCATTGGTAATTGAATGCTAGAATAGGAAGCTAGCTTATACGTCATTAATTTGATCCTTCGTCGCAATATTTAAGATATATTTTTGTATTTTGTTTCATTAATTGCAGAATGCGTACAAAGAACAATTACAGGTCATCACCTCAGCTTTTTTGGCAAAAATGGAGGTACTTCCAGTTCCACACTTAATAACTTGATAACCCTCTCCAGATATTATTATTATGTTCATTAAATGCAATCAATTCTTGAATATTAACATGTTGGGTTTCCATTCATGCATACCCCAGATTGTTATAGTTCGATTTCACTACCATGTTATCATGCATACCATGTTAAAGCTGATGTGGATGTAAATATCACAGTTTTTTGTTTTTAGTGCCATTAAAAGCCAAAATCGCAACTAATGCTGATTTGGGCGAATGCAGGAACAAATGGAGAACTTCGTCCATAAATTGGAAGAAAAAGAAAAGGTTTTCTCCACACTAGCGGAGGCAACATCAGCTACATTAACTAGTGAGAAAAGGCAAGCAGAGGAAGGAAGGAAGAAAGAGTTGGAAGGGCGGGCAAGTGTACTAACTGCAGTTGAAGAAAAAGCAGCAAAGATACAGAGGTTCAAGAGCGGCTTCAGGATTTGCAAACCACAGGGAACCTTCCTTTGGCCCACCAATTGCACCACCGAAAACAACATGTCATCTCCTAAGGTTGTTGTCCAGGTAGAGGATCTCTTCATGGTTCCAACCCCACCCTCTGTCTCTTCCTCTAGTGTCACATCAGCTCCTCCCCTACATCTCCGTAACAGTTACTTTCCACCATCCCCTGTTTCCCCTGTTAAGCCTGTGCCAGAAAGACCCCCTGCCGTTAAGGTCACAGTCTCCTCTGTCTCAAATGCCTGCAGCAGCTACACTCCTATCAACAACAACGCTAATCTGATATACCTTAATGACGACCCCTTCAATGGAGACAGAATCTGTGGGGCCCTGTCTTCAAGACAAACTGTCCTCTCCTCCACTGATATGATGCCAAGTGTGAGTTCTTTTCAAATTTTTCACGTCTTCAATTTCACTCTGTATGTTTAGAGTTTTTTGGATCTTGGGAAATGCTAGATGATAGAAAATATAGACAATAGGAGAAGATTTGAAATCAAAAGAATTGTAGAGATGATAAAAGATGGGTTCAAATGCAAGCAGATTTTCAGACAATTTTTCAAGCTCATTTATTTATAGGTTTTGGTTATATAAATACTAAGAAACTAGTGAAAAAATCAATTTATTTTTAAATTATATTTGATGTCCCTTTAGATCAATAGGGAAGAACTAGTTGCCTTAATTTTCTCATTTTCCCCTAAATTTTATACATTGTAAACACGGCCTGGATAAAGAAAACACTTTAATTAATTGGTTTTTTGGTTCTACAACTATGCAGATATTTCCATCTTCAAAGCATTTGGTGATGAGTGACAGCGCAAGTAAAAGCAATATTGGCAACAGCTGCGCAAATGAACCAATCAAATCCGCATCCACATCGCCCATGCCAAAAGAAGAAGGAACCTGGCTGGCTTTGGCTACTCCAAACACTATTGCCTCGGGCGAGTCTTGCCAGTTGGCCGGATGAAGTCTAGAAGTTATCCATATATATAGAGAGAGTCCTACACATAAGCACAGAATGGCAGTGCTGGCTTAAAGAAATCTTGGTTCCTTTTGTTATATAACACATGCAAGCAAAGCTTCATCCTAGACCTAGAGTAATATTGGGATGAAGCTTCATCCTAGACCTATAGTAATATTGGGGCAGAGGATTAAAACCATAAGATTCTGGATTTGACATTTTGTCTGCTTTGATTCTAAAAAGAGAGTATGACTTTGCCTAAGCGTTCTCAACAGCATAATTTGTGCATTTTTGCTTATCTATTACTTGATGGTTTTTGAAGATAACTCTTATAGATACATCTCATCACCCCATACCCTACTTTCGTTAGAGCAAAGCATAGCATTAGGGAGCGCATAGGAATTTATTCATAGCACCATAGTTGTCAGAATGTCGTCCAAGCGTCGACTAGATGATGTTTATGCTTTTTGGACACCTTGCCTGAAGAGCATCAAACATTGAATGGTGTCGTTTAGACGTCAATTAGGAAATTATACAGCGCCCAAGATACACTTTTGGCAATTCTATTGATCTGACAACCCAATCCACCATGATTGCATGTCTTTCTTTGTTATAGTTTAATGTATTATACAAATAATACAATATATACTCCCTTCATTCTGCAATTAAGTTCCTACTAGTTTGGCTTCACGGATTTTTTGCAAATAGTGTTTTTTTACTTTCCAAGCATGCCCTTCCACCAAAGTATGAAAGAGTAAATTAATAATTAATGATGAACTTTTCATAGGGGTAAAAGAGTACTTTTACCACTCAATGAGCTAATTTATATGGCTGCACTAAATGAGCATATACTCTAGGTTCCTGATGGTTCAATTCCATTATTCTGTTTTTCCACTGAATGAGCTCATTGATATGGCTGCACATAGGCATGAATCAATCAATTTACCTTAAACAAGACCTTACAGATATTAGAAATCTGAAACTGTTACTCATAAAGTTCCGTCATCTGAGAGTAAGAAGAAGACAATGTCGGAAGAAAAATTCATCAAAAGGAAGAGGGTGATGCTGTGCGGCTACAGGATATCGCAAGAGAAGACTTCCAATGGCATAACTTACACTCGCATAGACCCCTTGGCCTCCTCCTGAAGTGTGTACTCGTTCTTCATTTTTTCCAACACAGCGTCGTTTGTGCTGCATGGAGAGAAAATCAATGTCACACATCTATAATATAATCTTTTGCCCCTTTTCAGCCTTAAGGTTACTTATTCGACCAACTTTGGTAAAAAAAACTTCGGTTATATTTTAGTCGGATACGTGGATTAGGACTGAAACTGGAAATAACTTTATCTAAAAATGGAAAAAGAAATTACGATAAAAAATGAACATGTCATAAACTCATAATGGTCGACAGACCTAAAGTGGAACATTTTCATAAGTTATATCAAGTCTAACTTAATGAATGCCAATCAAATAAATCTTGTCAAAGAAAACTTTTTATTGGCAACAACATATGTTATATCCAAAATGCAGTATAAGTTGAAGGTTTTTTATACATTAATGGGGAGGCAAAGGTGGGACCTCAAGTCTACTCCCTCTATCCCAAAAAGCCATGTTTAAAAAAAAACTCCCAAAAAAAGTAATCCGGTTAGAAGTTAACTTTGCTTCAAGTAAAAATCTGGTAAAGCCAAGCTGCAGGAGTTTTAGTCAATTACTCCAAAGAGTCTTGGAAATAACTTTTAGGTTTAATTGACTATTCACCTTTTTAAAAAACTTGTATATTGATTAACTAAAAAGGAAAAATTGTCCTTACTCAAGCATGAGACATGACACTTTTTTTTAGATGGAGTATTATTAATAATATCTGAAGGGGGATATAATGTTGCTCAAATACAATTTATAGCTACGAGTCTTTATACAAATGGTGCAACCCAAACCACAGGGGAGAGGGGCTCCATCCCCTGTTTTGGTGGTGGAGAATATATAAATTGAGGTTTGTAAGCTCAAGATGCGAGTGTTAGCCAGTACATTTCATGCATACTAGGTGTCTTTCTAGTTTGGTGTCAACAGGTTGAAATACGTAGGCCATGTAGGCAATAACAGAAAAGACGCATACGTATGTAAAATCAGCCTATTTTTAAGGCTAACCGAACCTCTAAGTCTTTGTAAAGAAACATAACCAATTGAGATTGGACAATAGTATAACCATACTCACAATTGATGAAGGCAGTTATTTAATTCTTTAGCCTGTTTACGGCATTTCCAAACCACGGATACTGTTTTGCCAATTGCACATTCAGCATACTTTGCAGCATATTCATCACATTCCTTTAGCGCCTTTTGCTTCATTTTGCTACGCAGAGCTGAAATTTTAAGAGAATCACTTATATAGAGGATACAATATTGCTAGCTGACAAAAAATTGAGTGCAAAACTGAAACAATTAAGGCAAAAAAATATGAAATGCCACTCAAATTGTATATTTCATCATACAGGAACATGCAAAATTGCAGAAGTTGCTAGGTTGTGCAAGAGCAGAACACAGCCTAGCGCCTGCACACCACCTAGGTAATTCCTAGGTTATATGAAGACATACTAGTACAGTTCCATTAAAAAAATGTATCTTTGACCAATATGCAACATTTAAATTTTGATATCTTGGCATGTTACGGCTATCATATTTGTACGAGTATATTTTTCTGTGTGCGACTGTTGGTTGCACTATATTTAAAATATGTAACTTCTGTGTGACCCCCTTTATTGCCTTTTTTGGCATATTGCATTACAAGCTAACTTTGTTTTATCAAACTGTATCATTCGTTTACTTTGGAACAAGATGTGTGTGTGCATATAAAATCATTTCTCCGGCATAAACAGCCACCTGGCCCATTGAATCTGCTGACTTGCGCGATGTTCACAACTATGGGCATAAGACCAGACCAACACCCGTTTATCTGTTGTCAGAGAATAAGTTCCAGGCTTCCAGCATGGTGATTTGCCATAACTTGATACAACAACATCCAACCCTTATTCCCAAAAGATTTTGGGGTTGACTATTTTGATTCATGTCATGTGATGTGACTAAGTGATAATGTTGTTGTTGCTAACTTGATAGAAGAAAATAAATTAAGATAATGTTAGATTTTACGAGAACTGACTGCGAGGAAAAAAGTGTGTAAACTGGATTACTAGACAATGACATTGAACTTTCTTGATTCTGAGTGCATTTTACCCATTAAAACAAATTATTCAATGAAAAATTTTCAAACTGGATTACTAGACAATGACATTTGTTTGAATATTTTGACCCATCCAAACAAAAAAAAAAATCAAGTGCCTCTATTTTACAGAATGTATTGCCAACTTCAGAAACTTAACAATTCTTTCGAGAACAAATACATTTTTTCCCATCTAACCCCTATGTTCACTAATGCTATTATGCTACTAGGAAGTTTTTCAAGCTCCAAACGAATTTAACCAAATATATTTATTCTCAGTTCCTGGAAGAATGACTAAAATCATATCGAAATTTAATTATAACAGAGGCAAATCATCCATGAGTCCAGGCTGGCCAGCTAATTGATAAACATTCAGACACAGATTCTCCACTATAAAAAAAAGCACAATGTTTCGTGACTATAGAGACGATCACCCAGTCTTTAAGCTAATGTGACTCCTATGGCGGAAACTGTTGGAAGAAAATCCATTCAATTGGGTAATAGCACAGCAGAAAGGGCAGTGTAGCAGATTTAGGGATCGAGTGTTTTTTTAATATTTGGGTATGCGCGTACCTTCTTCAACCTTCTTCTTGACGTGATTTTCTCTTGCTTCTTGTACATAACCCATTAAGCGTTTCTCTGCAAAAAAAAAAAAACCACTCAACAGATGGTTTGAATATTTGAGTGATTAAGAAGTCGGTTTTGCCGAGTAGCTTACTAGCATCTCTAGGCTACACAAATTAACAAAACCAACTCTTCTAACAATTTATGCCCCGGTCTTTTACTCTTTATTTTTGACAAGTTTTATGCCCCGGTCCAGTTTGGTGACTGGTCTAGTTTTTTATGGTTTTTTATGTCTAGTATGGCATGGTATATTTTGAATTGATTCTATGCCCCGGTCTAGTTTGGTCACTTTGGTGTAGTAGATGTTAGTCGATGTCTATTTAGGATAAAATCCATTGTACAGCCGCTATACGGTGCCCACGGTATAGCCGGGTTTTTTATAAATAATCTGCGCTGATACTCATCTGTGAGGACGACGAAGGACATCGAAGAAGACGAACATCGACTGTCCAGGTCTCCAACTCGCGAAGCAGACCAAGCCGCCACATACTCTGATCGATTGGCGCAGATACACATACTCCGATCGATTGGCTTCGTTTTTGACCTAAGATTCAGATTCTTCCACCCTTGTTTCTGTTTATGCGCTGGCTTATAGAAAGAAGAAGAGAAAGGAGTTCAAAACTTTTGTGGGTCTGTCATATTGTATTGAAATGAGTTTAATATTAAACTCAAATGAGTATAATGTCTAAAAGGAATGAATATACACAATGAATATTGAACACATAAGAAATGAGTTTTTATGTTAAACTCAAAGGAGTGTCGCGCCCAACATGAATGAGCATACATAAATGAGCTTTTGAATTTTTCGATACTCATTTTGTAAGTTATGTATGCTCATTTAGAATCACTGTATGCTCATTTTAAAAGGTTGCACAAATGAGCTTTAAGAAATGAGTTTTATGTTAAATAAACTCAAATGAGTATAACGTCCAAAATAAATGAGTATACACAAATGAGCTTTCGAATTTTTTATACTCATTTTGTAAGTCGTGTATGGTCATTTGGTACTGCTTTATGCTCATTTTAAAATGTTTCACATTTCAAACGCATCATACTACATAAGATTCACATATTGAAATTAATTGAAATTTATTATAAACATAATTTAAGAATTTGTTATAAATGAAAAAGGAAGAAAAAAATAAATTGAATTAGAAGATATGAATCAGAAATCACTGGTGCTCATTGTTAGACTAAAAATACTCAAAAGAACAGACTCGATGCTCATCACAATCACATAATGAAAATCACTGGTGTTTATAATTTCAAGTTGATGCTCAATGAAAATGTCTTGATGTTCAATTAAAAGTACTTATGATTTTCATATCAATTCTCATTTTAAAAGTTATGTATCCTCAACGGGTATTCATGTTATGCTCATTTGTAAAATGACATAACAGTGCATATTTCAAAAGTATCACATTGCATTAA